TTTTCCATAACCGGGAATTGAACTCAGGCCCTTGCGCTTGCCAGGCAAGCACTTATTCTACTGAGCCATCTCCCCAGCCCCAACCTCTATACTATAAGTGAGAATAATTAAACCCCAGAGCCTTACTCAGGAGGGCAAGGCCATTATGGGGCACAGCTAGAATAAGGACTCAACATTAGTATTTTCTTAATCTAGTGTTCTTTGCATGATGACAACATAAAGGGAACTAAAGAAAGGGAACTAAGTCTTAAGAGATAGGCGAGACAGGTGGGCAGGGAAATGATAATCCTAGTGACCTTTACATATGTCCAGCCCTACAGCCACTCTATCCCCTCCCTTCTGCACTTAAGTGAACTGCAGATCCTACCTTTGGATGCTGGAGCATAAAGTCTACAGCTTCTTCAAAATACTCCAGGTGGAGCTCACTCAAGTATTTTGGAAGGTCCTCAAACCTGAAGTAAGCCAGAGCAAGCACAGCAAAACCATGTCCAGCTAGGAGGCTGGCTCTGTACTCACAAAGGCCACCACTGCTTCCAAACAGGTCAATGATCCCTGGAAAGCTGTCCTTGCCTGGAAAACATGACAAATCAAAGATGTTTTACCCTCTCAAAAAACATCCTGGGTTTGAGACTTGGGCAATCAGCAAGTAAGGTTTTGAAGCTAGAGAGGTTAGTGAAAGAGGATCCTTTTTTTTTTTTTTTGCGGTACCAGGGTTCAAACTCAGGACCTTGCACTAGCCAGGTAGGTGCTTATGCCACTGAGCTACATCCCCAGCCCTCAAAGAGGATCTTTTTTACTTTACTTTGTTTTGTCTTAATAACCCACAGATGGGAAGAAAAATCCTTTCTTTTCTTCTGAATGTCATATATTTTCACAAATAATAATATAAATAAGCTAAGCTAGAAATAGTATGTGATGAGATGTATGATTTTCCACCAACTTTTCTTTCTCATTTCCCTCAAAAATAGCACTTGAGCATGTTCTGAGAGCTGTTACATGCGCTGTTATTCAGGAGTCACTAGAACACGCTGCTTCTTTCATCTGCCCCAGCCTTAAAGAATACCATCTCAAATATGCATCCTGTAATTTTTGCCCCGAAATACAGACTGTTTTCTGGGCCTACAATACTATATCCTCTCCTCCCACTTTTTTTTGATCTGACTGATTCCTTAGTCTTCAAGTGTAAATTTAGGTCTCCTTTTCCCAAAGCCTTCCCAGATCCCTGCATGCTGAGCGGAGTTAGCCTTTTATGTGTTCCCACCAGCATACCGGGCCTGTACCTTCCCAATCATAGTGAAGCTGCATAATGGGTTAAAGAAGGATTTTCCCAGTACGAGTTAAATTCTTTCACCAAACTTAGTTTTATTTATTTTTTTTTCCTGCCGGATTAAACTGCACACAAATGCTAGCTAGAAACTCCCTAGACTCCTCTTTTCTGAAAATGCCTCAGACCTCGGCTACAGGACAGGTGATGACAGCCAGAAGACACAGAGCAGGAACTGGCCACAGCCAGACAGGGGTGAATGGAATTTTTAAGTCATTTATATTTTCTTTTAGATGCATACATTCAACGACCTTCACATAAGATTAATAAACAACCCCGTGTCCACCCATCTGGGACCCGTACCCCTTCTCTTGCAAAAATCAAAATCTCAAACTTAGCACCAACAGCGAGATGGTCGCTAAGGTTGTTTGACCCGCCATCTGCCAAGACAGCTTGATATTGGCAAAACTTTCCTTCTCCCACTACTCTGTCTCTAAGTCACTGGCCTCATTCAGCACAGCACAGTGGGGCTTCGTCTTGGTTACATGAGCACCTGCCACACCACGTCATAGGCACAATGACACTTGCCGGTGTTCACCATTACACTGGAAGTACAATGAGGGCCGTGCCTAAATGGGCCACCCAGTAGATGGGGAAATAGTTAACACAAAGCTGACGACGACTTGTCTGGGGTATCAGATAGCACAACTAAGTGGGTTTTTTAAAATTAAAACTTGTAGAAGATTCCAAATTAATCAGTGTGATTTACTGAGCTCCCACTATATGGCTGCAAAAGACGGCAGGCGTACAGATAGAGACACAGAGACGTGGAAGACACAACTCCAGTCCTAACAGTTCACGGAGTAGAGAACAGCAGCGGCTGCCAAGTTAAGTGTAAGATGCTGACAAAGTGCAAGAACAAAACATTCTATTATTTTGGAAAATAAGCCAAGTGAGGATCTCTGCGCACCGTGTCAGGTCTAGCACTTCTTTCTGCTAGGGGTTTAGGGCAGGAGTTTGGCTGCAAGAGGTGGGTCAGTGGGGGTCTTGTTTCCGGCCTCTCCTACCTAGCCGGCTCCCTTTTTCTTAGGCTGAGGTTTCCTGAACCCAAGCACCGCAGTCGTTTGGCACGAGGTACGTCTGCGGTCCCGCGACTGTCCCGTGCATCGCGCGCTGTTTAGCAGCAACTCTGGCCTCTAGGCGCCAATGGCACGCTCCTCTTCAGTTATGACCACAGGGCTGTCTCCTGACATTGGCAACTGTCCTCAAAGGAGGTGGCCAAGCCACTTCAGGTTGACATCATTAACAATACACTAGGGGAAGAGGAGGGTCTGGGAATTTTGTCTCCGTGATGATGGGGCACGGCCGCTGCCAGACAGAAGGCCCTGGATTTCAAAGCACACTCATGCGCCTGGCACGAAGGGCTCTGCAAGTGCGGTGCACTTCTCAGCTCGTGGCTGAGGGCCTGCCAGCGCCTCTGAGCCGCGCCAGGAAACTTCTAGAGAAGTCCCACGGCCACGTGTCTCCACGGCCACAGGACCGCACGGCTCACCTGCGGGCAGGAAGAGCGCGCCCCGCACCCGGCCCGCGCGCACCGCCTCGCGCCGCACCCCGGGCGCCAGGAAGTGGCGCTCGTGCTCCACGCTGGCCAGCAGCCGGCCCCGC